TGGCCTGCAGTGTGCAGGAGGTCAGCCTAGCTGATCACGATGGTCTGACCTTAAAGTCTATGAGTCTATGAGGACTGTTAGATAAACTCCTTATGGCTAAGGAGAAAGGACAAGTTTCCAATGATTAAACTGCTGGACCTGTCAGCTGCCTGCTACACCGGTGGTCACAAGAATGCTTGTGCATCTTTCAGCACGAGCAGGTTTTATGTTGCTGCAAACGCAGTGTTGTCAACTCTTGCAATTTTATCACAAGTTTCATGATGTTTGTGGTTTCCTTAAAGCCTCCCTCCTGGCTGAGCCTCGGGTGCGGCCGCCACAGGTGACTTCAGAACGCCTTGACTCAATGTGGGAACTCAACGGAACAATGGATCTGGGATTCCTGATAGTCTTTGTTTCATCCCATACAGTGACTTTAACCCTGTTGTTCCCTCGTTAGAGCAGTTGACTGGGGGCCTGCTCCAAAGCTGCTAGAAATCAGTAACAGCCTTTCACCGATTTCAAGAGCCCTCCGAGAGCAGTTCCAGGAACAAGCAATTTTTAAAATAAGTTTCTGAAACTGGTTAAAAAAATCGTAAGGCCCAGGTGTCCTGGAGTCCCCGGGCGATGCTCTGGATCTGCTCCCCACAAAGCCAGGCAGGACTCTGGGGAAGTCTCCTCTCTCTGAGCTTCCTGTCTGCAGGACACACAGCTCACACAGCTTGCACCTTCCTGGGTCTGACCTCGGAGCCTTCAGCCTCCTCTGCCCCTCCCTGCGCTTCCCACAGCGAGTCCGCCCAGGCGGGGTCTTGGGGAAGCCAGAGGGTCCTGACCCGCAACTCCGCAGTCAGACGTGACTCACAGCCAGCCGGGAACACAGAAGGTTTATTAGACGACAGGAACATGGTCTAAAACAGAGCTTGTAGGTGCAGAGAACAGGACCCCTCAGCCGGGTCCATTTTGGGGGGCAGTGAGCCAGACAACCACGTCTGCACTTCACTCCATGTCCCCAGCCAGCCCCCAACTGACTCACCCTCCACCCCCTCCTCCTCTGGGCTTTGACCCTTCCTGGGCCAGGAGGTCACCTGATTCCTTTGTTCTCCCACCCTTTAGCTCTCACCTTGCAGGGGGGAGGGGCCCAGGCCATCAGTTGTTAGGAAACAGGGTGTTGGCCATTCTCTGTGTCCAGACCCCTGCACACATCTGCCCTCAAGGGCTCTGCAAGGATCATACACCCTTATCCCACCCCCTAGATACTTAAGATCTGCACAGGGAAAACTGAGGCACCCCCACACGATTCAGAGAAAACATGAAGAACAGTCCCGCTTTGTCACACCAGGTAGTTTTGAACTGATTCCCTAAGGCGGCTGTAAATGTTCCCAGTTAATCTTTATTAAATAAATTACACTTAAAGTCCATCCTTCCCCAGGCCCGTCCATCCCAAATGCTATAGCTCAAATATCTTCCCTTCCCACCACTCTGACCCTGTCGATCTCGCCCCTAGAATGTCTGCAGTGGCTTTCCCACTGGGGAACCTGGCATCATGGATGCTGGCTCAGCGCCTTCATGCTGTCAGCATTTCATCCGCCTCGACTCCTTACTGGGGGAATGGGGATTTCATGGGACAGCGTGGGAGCATCAGCAATAGGAATACACAACACCTGTGGCACAAGAGAAAAACCTCCAGTGTGAAACTAGTTCACAACTGACTACAGAGCAGGCTGTGAGTGCAATTTGTCCTCCTCTTTCCCATCAACAGAGAGCCCAGTTTCCAGACTGGATATTTTATCCAGGGAAGAGCTGTGTGTCAGGGATTATCAGGGCACAAGGGGAAAATTTGTTGTAGCAGCTTCCCAGACGAGCGAGAAAAATACAAACCGTTGAGGAAATAGCAGGGCACTGACAGGTTGAATAAAATTTTTGCAATCTCATTAATTGAGGTCTGTCACCATTCGCTTTAATCTTCTAGCAAATGGCAACCGTGCAAGTTGTCTTTTGACCCACTTTCTACCATGTGCTGGACTGGTCCCTGTTTGGAGAAACCCAAGAGCTGGGATCTGATGTAACTGACTTATCCTTGGAGATGGAAAATGCATTACCTGTATGCTGGCACTTTGGGGCACAGGTGTTGTACTGCCCACCAATGAGGCAGTTTGGGATTCTGAACAAAGGGGTGGGTCTGATTCGGGAAGGGCAGGGATTTGCACTGGCCCTTTCATGCCCAGCTCACAGTTAGGGGCCCGTCACAGCCAGCTTCATTATTTTCTTGCCTGTGAGAAGCAGCAGCTGGGGGAGGGGAGCAGCTCCCTGCCCCCACACACACCTGAATTCAGATCCTCTGCAGAGGGGCCTTCCCAGCTCCAAAGAGCAAGGCAGCTTTGCTCTGGTTCAGGTTGTCCACAAGGCGCAGGATGGCCTCACGCTCAGCCCCCCAACTCTGCAACCACCAGGAATTCCTCCTGTGTCACTGAGCCATGTGATACTATATTAACTCACCCTGCAGCCCCACAGCGTGGGGGGCCCGAAGGGAATTCAGGAGAGGCAGGAAAAGACTGACACTGGGAACTGGGACACACACCAGAAAAGACAGCCACGGGAAGTCAATCGGTGGTAAATTGGCATCACATAGCAACTCCCCGGAGGGGGTGAGATGAGTCACCCCACCCCACACACACCCCGTGAACTTGTGTCACCATGCAGGCGTGTCCCTCTTCTCTGCTCAGCTCCTGCTCCCCTTCTGGCAGGCACCCCGCACTCTCCGGTGCTACGGATACTCGGGGAGAGACCCACGGGACTTGTGCCGCTAACACTGCTGGGCCCAAGGGGAGGAGACCACGTGCTGGTGTGCAGGTTTCTCCCACTCCCACTTTTCTGAGTTGGCCCCGACTCTGTGCCCTCCTCATGACCTTCCTTCCGTGTAGGCACCTGCGCTTTCCTCTTCAGAGCACCTCATGTTTACAGACATTCGCTGAGCACCTTTGCCAAACCTCTTGTTACGAGGCTACCTGTTTGCCTTCCTTTTCAAACCCTGCCCTTTCCTTTTGGCATAAACCCCGGCCTCCTGGAGTCCCTGCCTTCCTCCCCCACCCCGCGCCTGCTGTAACTCCATTGCCTTCGGCGTGACACCGAGCAGACCGGGGCCCGTTCCACGGGCAGCGTGGTGCAGTCTCAGGCCGCCCGAGCTGAGCGCTATTCTGGGCCGGATGTGGGTCTCCGGCATCCCGCTGCAGTCCCAGCCAGAGGATGCTGCTGGCTTGGTTAGCACAGGGGAGGCCGTTTGTCTTGCGGGAGGAGGGAGCACTGACTCCACACAGATGCAGGCCCTGCTTCCCCCCCCCCCCCCGAGGCTGCATCTCCCCTGCCATGGCATCCCAGGGCTCGGCCCTCTGAGAGCAGAAGCAGGAGATGCTGTAGCAATTCAGCCTCCCCTGGGTTGTCTCTGCCAGGACAGCGTGTGACCGGAAGAGGCCCATCTGTTTGCAAAGAGCTTGGGGCCTGTCTGTGGGGAAGACGCCAAGTTACCCGCTGTCCGGTAGAGACAAGGGCAAGCTCCAGACTGTCCCATCACCTGTAGCAAGAGCCTGTAGAAATGAAGGCGACTCTGCTGGAGAGTGGAGCCCCCATGTCTCCTTTCCGCCTCCGCGCGCCCCACTCCAAAGCCGCAGGGCTTTCCTCATCCCCCGCACTCTCGCCCACATTCCCTTCGCAGACCTGTCCTCCCACCCCACTGGCTGAGTGTCAATGGCCAGCACATGCCCTTCTCCAGAACCCAGAGCTGTGGGCCTAGCTGAGCCCCACTCTCAGGGTGCAAATTCTCATAGAGCGGAGGTTCTCAAACTGTGGTCCAGGGACCACCAGTGGTCCGCGAGCTCCATCCAGGTGATCCACGGATAGTTCCCTTGAAGGTGCGTGTCTGGGCGTCTGCACACAAGAAAACGAAGGGCCACCCCCCCTAATTAGTGGAGCGTGCAGGCATGGCTCCACTAGTTAGGTGCCTGGACCCTGGAGAAGATGCAGATGTAAAGTGAGGTGGTGGCCTTGGGCGGAATAGGGGGTAGGTGGGAGGGGGCAGTGGGGTGAGAAGAGGGGGTGGGGGGAATTTGGGATGTGCAGGGCTGTGGCAGCCAGAGAAAGAGGTGACTTTCCCCAGCTCCAGGGCTGTGGTTGCCGAGAAGAGACAGTCCTCCTTCCCGCCCCAGCTCGGGGGCTGCCGCGGTGGGGGAGAGACCCCCCCTCCTTCCCAGCCCCAGCTCAGCAGCTGCCGTGGCAGGGAAGAGAGGGCACATCCATCGCATTAGAAAGGTAAGACTACTGATATTAAAATATGAGTTGTGTGTTTTTATTTGTAGAACAAAAAAACGTTAATTTTTTTTTATATAGCGCTTTTATCCAAAGCGCTTTACAATAGTTAGCTCATGGTACAAACAATATTTGGAAAGATCATGAAGTGGTCCGCTGAGACCCTCAGCAATTTTCAAGTGGCCAGTGAAAAAAAAAGTTTGAGAACCTCTGTCATAGAGTATTTCCCAGAGCCCCCTCCCACCAATACTATACAAACTCCAGAGTCCAGTGGGGCTGGGGGGGCTCCAGGCTTCAGCTGCTAGGCTTGGAGGGAGGAACTGAGGGCTTCTGCTTTGCGGTGGGGTGGCGGAGCTCAGGGCTCTGGGATTCATCTGTGGGGAGGGGGGTCTCAGGGCTTCAGCCCTGCAGGAGGTGCCAGGGCTCGGGACTTTGGCCCTGCGAGTTTGGAATATTTACCAGAGCTCTGCTCTGGACAGCTCCGGCTGAAGTGAAGGGCTGCCCATTCCCCACATCGCCAGCTCCCTGCACGCACCCTGCCCTGGGGGAGCTGCTGACTCTGTTTCCACCTCTCTCCCGAAACGGGCTGTTTGTTCAGTCAGCTCTGCCCTGGCTCGCTCACAGGAATGGCTCTCCCTTAGCCGGGGAGCTGGCCGGATGAGCCAGCGGCCTATCCGAGCAGGAAGGTAATTGTGTAATGACAGGCAGGAGCCCAAGCTGTTAGGCAGGTTGCCTGGGAGCTGGCTGCTGGGAGCTAGGATCCAACAGTCAAGGTCAATGCGGGGATTGGCGACAGCTCATTGCCCTCCAGCAGGACAGTCTGTGAGGCCGTAGGAGAAGCCGCAGCTGCAGGCGGACCAAGCCCGGTGCAGGATGAGGCTCTGGCTGCTGGCCGGTTTAGTGGCTGTGCTCGCCCTCGTGGCGGTAGCTGGGGCCGACCTGGGGGACGCGAGGGAGCTGGAAGATGCGGTAGGAGAGAAAGAGGTTTCTAGAGTGTGGAGGAGGGGCAGGCCTGAGCAATGAGACGGGGGCGGCGGGGGGACAGTGGGAGAGGGGGACCAGGAACCACACCCATCGACCCGCAGAGGATTTGGGTTTGACATTATTCAAAAGAAGCGGAGGTTCTGGGTGTGGCGAGACACGGCCTGGATCGCAGTGCTGGTTGTCTTCGGAACCAGCGAGAGGCAGCCATGCTCCCAGGCCTGAGCCCGCAGGCACTCACTTCTCACCGGCACTGTGACCTCCCTGAACCAAAGGACTTTATGCTGCCCCCCCAGGAACACAGGGTTTGCTGTATCAGCTCAGACAATTAATCCAGCTGCTCCAATGTCCTGCCTGTGGCAATGGGCAGTACTTGAAGCATCACAGGAAGGCAATCAAGCCGTCCGTCACCTCCCACCATAATTCCACTGGCAGTTCGTGTGCGTGTGTGTGTGTTTGGTGCTGTTGTGTGTGTGTTTGTGTATGTGTATGTGTGTGTGTGTGTCTCTTTCTCCTTCCTGGTCACTAACTATGTGATTTGCTTCTCTATTGTAGGGTTTCAGAGAGACAAGGTGGGCGAGGTGATGGCTCTTATTGGGCCAGCTTCTGTCGGTGAGAGAAGCTTTTGAGCTGCTCAGAGCTCTGGGTGCAGACCTGCAGAACAGCTCTCTGTGTGGCTCGAAAGCTTGTCTCTCACCAGCAGAAGCTGGCCCAGTAAAAGCTGTTACCTGCCCCACCTTGTCTCTCTCTGAGCCTGGGACCCACACGGCTACCCCAGCACTGCAGACAACATCCTCTAAGGTCCGATGGTTGTGTCCATCACTTTCCTGCTGAGCTCCCGGTCTGAGTGCAAGCTGGGATCTGGGATGGTGAGGGAGCACGCTGCAAAATGCCGTTTGTAAAAGTAGGAATGGGGCAGCTGATGTCAGCTTGGGGGGGAGAAGCAGGGACGAAGGGGGTGATATTGGGAGGCATTTGATTGGAGCAGCTCAACTGCTTAAGTTACAAAAGAAAAGAATAAGGCACCTCCTCTTGGAGACCTTCAGACGCTACCCCTGCCCCTTCCAGCTCCCCCAAAACGTGGCGGCCAAAGCCTCACACTCCTGCAGCTCCCCCTTGCCGTGAGTCTCTTCCATGGTTGTCCCATCGCTCCCCACACAGCCCTGCCTGTGTCTCTGGCCTTGTCTTGGCTGGAATTGCCCCGTCTTGTCCGGTCAGCCAGTGACACTGCCCTCCAGAGACCTCTCTCACCCCTCACTCCATGCTTCCCCCGGCCTTCCAGTGTCCTCCCACAGCCTGGTCGCGAAGCCCTTCTCCTCGCTTGCGTCACTCCCACGAGCAGCCCTTGCAAAGAGGGAGCATGCTCCCCCTGCACTGTAAGAGAAACGTGGGACCCAGCAGGAGCCCTGTCTGCCTCACCCGAGGACCCCTGGACCTGCCCCCTTCCCCTCCTCACACTGTTACACCCTCACTTAGGCACTGTCCCCCCCCCCCCCCCCCCCCGGCTTAGTGGTTCTCGGGCAGTGGTTTGCGGCTCCCTGGCTTTGTGTGGGTCACAGGCTGCTACCTATTCCAGCTGAGAAAGTGCATAGCTGAAAAGGACCGGCCAAATCCATGAGAGGACCGGCCAAATCCTCCGCTGCTGTAAACCGACCCAGCTTCACTGAAGGTGGGAGAGCTGTATGGGTTCTGGCCTTGTGTGGGAGCCCTTGGCATAGACGGGACACTCCTTGGGGCAGGGCCTGTGTCTTAGGAGTTTTCTGTGCAGTGCCTGGCAGAGCTGTAAGCACCACAGATTAAACGAATAACCACCGTAATGCCCACGGGCCTTGGGAGAGACCCACATGGTCCCTATCTGTCCAGGCGGCCCTGTGAGGGGAGGGACTCGCTGCCCATGCCTTGGAAGCAGGTTTTAGGGTTAGTCTCCACTACAAAGTTAGCTTGACCGAACGGTATTGCTCACAGCGGTGTAACATGCCCTGCCCCGTATGGCAGAATTAAGGGGACAGCCCCGAGGTAGGCAGCACCAGGCTGACAGAAGAATTGGTGCATTGACCCCGCTCCCAGCTCTCAGAGCGGTGGATTTCCTGCCGCGAGGGAAGAACCCCTCCCGTCATTGTAGTGTCGACCCTACCGCTGTGCCACCGCGGCATGTCGAGTGCGGGTGCAGACTGGTCCCTGGCGGCCCGGTCCCACCGAGTCAGGCCCTCGAGGGATGGAGCTGGGCGGGTGTGCAGGGGTGGGGAGGGATGGAGCTGACAGCGTCTGTGGGACAGAACATCCCGATCAAGGGTTAGCCACGTGCTTCACCCGCTGCCTGGCTGATGGCCCCCTCCCCCTCCCCGCCCTCTCTTGGCTGAGCTGGGGAGGCCCTGCTGAAAACATGTTTTTGTGACTGCGGGAGTCTGCACTGTGCAGATCCCAGCTCCCCCTTGCTCAGGTCAGGGCTTGTGCAATGGGCAAGTTTCATCAGGGACTTGGCGAAGGGCGGATAGCGGCGGGAGGGGAAAATGAGATTGAGGGAGCTTCTTTCCCGCTCCCCAAATGGCTTTTTACACTCCCAGGTTTTACCCACAGCTCACATACCTCACCTGCAGCCCCCCTGCTAGTCCAGGCCAGGGCCACACGCCAGCTGGCTAGTGACCCCCCTGTCTGCCCACCCAGCTCTGCTAATTCACATCCGCCCTCAGCTGCTGTCTGGGTCTCCACACTGCGCTGCCACTGAGAGGAAAGCGAGGCAGGGAGCTCAGGGTGGGAATTTGCTGTAATGTTTTTATGAACCATCGGTGTGACTCTGGACTAGCCGCTTTGCATGGTTGCGTCCTTCAGGGGAAGGAGTTACTGCTCTCCCTGGGCCGTGGGAGATCAGGGCCAGGGGTCTGAGACGTAGGGCCTCTAGGGCTGGCTGGCCTGGACTCAGCTGAGCAGAATGGAAAACCCTACAGAGACAATGGAAGCCTCAATGACCCACGTGAACTCCTAGAGCCAGTTACTTCTCCCCAGCTCCCTGCGGGGAAGTGGAGTGCACGGCCCTGGCTGGAGAGCGGGCAGGGGACATTGTCTTACGAGAGCAGGCACAGAGGGCCAAGAAGAGGGAACCAGGCTCCGAGGAAAGGGCGGGTTTTGGGCTCTGGCTCCCACCCACATGGACTTTGTCTGGAATTTACCTTCCCCTCAGCTGTGCGCCAGGGAACTAATAAAAATAACCTTGTTTGGAAAAGGCTGCCTGACCTCACTGCAGGTGCCCCCGGTTGCATTGCTCCCCTCTGAGGAACAGCCTCTCTCAGGGCTTTGCTCTCGGTTGGACTGGCAGTGGAGAGCCGTGGGGAGAAACAGGAGCTGATGGAGCCCGAGGGCCCCTGCAGGAGGTGCTGAGGTGGCGTGGCCTTGCCCTGGTGGGAAAGTGTGACCCTGGGGGGTCTGGCACACTAAGCTGGGGTACTGCCAGTGACGGCTCAGTGGCTGGGGCATAGCCCAAACCTTGCAAACCCTGACAGCAGGTATCTGGGGGGGGGGGCAGTGGAGCCAGAGGGGTTTCTGAAGAAGCCATAGCAACGTAGGCTGATGATTGCTGCTCTAGATCAAATCCATCGCTAGTGAACGAAGGGAATGCGTCAAATGAATTCTCTCCGAGTTTCTGTAACGCATCTGATAGACAGAAAATCAGCTGAGCAGGCCATAAATCGAGGGTAACGACATAGGGCGGGTGTACTAAGGGTTGGAGAGGCATCTCGTGGGCATGGCGGGGTTCGGGGTTAGGTCCAGTCTGACTGAAGAGCCAGCTGAGTGCCCTGGAAAGGTGTGTGACCAGTCCGTTCACGACATTGCCATGGGACACTAAATTGGAAGGAGTCGCAAATACTAACGAGGAGAGAGAAATGACAGAAAGTTGCTGAGAGAAATTCAAAACAAGGGCAAGAAATAACACAATGGAATTCAGCCTGGAAAAGTGGAAGTGAAGACATGGGGGGGTGTGACAACCCAAAACATAGCGGGAAAGACTGGAGAAACAGCTGTAGCCAGAGACCTAGGGGGGAGACTAGGGCAGAGCAGCTGGGCTATGGGTCTGCCTTGTCAGATGGCCACCATAGAGGATGTGGGCTAGGAGTTGCGTCCACTGATGCATTGTGTCATACAGCAATGAGGCGATGTCAGTACAGTGCTAGTGAGAGGGCCCTAGGGGTACTGAGTCCAGTTCTGGGTCCCTTAGGACCAAAAGGACCTCACCAAACTGGGAAGAATTCAGCGAAAAGCCAGAGAAGGGCTTGAGGGGCTGCAGGGACGGGTTTATGAGGAACGATGAAAATGACAAAATATGTCACAGACTCATAGAAAGGTAGGGCTAGACGGGCCCTCAGGAGGCCACGTAGTCCTTTCCCCTCCCCCACAGCGAGAGAGCGTTAAGTGTCATACGGGGCTAGCTTGTCTAGGTGGCATCAAAGGGGGACTAATCGTGTGTGGCCATTTCGAGGGGAGAACATCAAGCAGGGAGAGGACTCATGGAGTGGGCCAAGGGTAGCCTGGAGTAGCCTGGAGTAAAGAGAGAAAAGTGGACAGAGGTAGATCCCGGCGGAGCAGGAGGAAAGGTCTCCTAGCCGTGAGGGCTCTCAGACTGTGCACTAGTCCCCTAAGGGGGGCTGGTTGCTATTTAAAAGGGGACTGGACAAAGCACTGCAGAGAATACCCCTGCCTTGGTGTCTGGGGACGGACTACGTGCTCTCCATTCCCACCGTCTCTCACCCTGTGCTTTCCTCCTGCTCTGCCACCTCCCCGCTGTGCCAAGGCCAGCCTCGGGCGCCCAGCCAGCTCAGCGAATGCACCCCAGCCCTGCCCATACGGAGCTGATCCTGCTCGGAGCGCTCCCTGAGACTGGGCAGGGAGCTGGTGCAAAACGCAGACTCTGGCAACGAGACGTGGCCCTAATGGCCGAATTCTCTCCACCCACAGGATCTGCTGCGAGTCAGGAGGGAGGACAATAACCAGTGATGAGCTGCCAAAGTCTTAACAACGGGTTCCCTCCTCATCCCATGAGGGGGTCGTTGCCCACCCCCACCCCCCGGGACTTCTGCCCCATCCACCCCCCTCCCCTGTCCCCTGACTGCCCCCAGAACCGGGCAGAAGGGTCTCGTGGGCCACCGTAGTGGGTGCCCACCCCGCCCCTAAAAGCCAGAGGCACCTGCTGGGGGGCGAGGTGGGGAGTCCCGGAGGTGCTTACCTGGGGCAGCTCCCAGGAAGCATCCGGCAGGTCCCTCTGGCTCCTAGGGGCGGAGGAGCACAGCTGGGGGGGGAGCAGGGGGAGCGGCTGCTCCCCCCACTGAACAAATCAAAAGTGGCACCTTAGGTGCCGACTCCCTGGGTGGTCCAGGGCTGGAGCACCCACGGGGAAAATTGATGGGTGCAGAGCACCCACAGCAGGTCCCCACCCCGCGCACGGCCCCAGTTCACCTCACCTCTGCCTCCGTCTCCTCCCCTGAACGCCTCGCCCTGCTCTGCTTCTCCCCCCCCCCCCCGCCCCGGCTTCCCGCAAATCAGCTCTTCGGTGGGAAGCCGGGGAGGGCTGAGAAGCAGGCCGCGGCTTCCCGCGCTGGCCGAGGGTGGCGGAGGTGAGCTGGGGCGGGGAGCGGTTCCCCTGTGCCCCCCGCCCCCGGTTACCTGCTGCGGGCAAGCGGCCCTCCTCGCACCCCCGCGCCCCAGCTCACCTCGGCTCCGCCTGCTTCTCAGCCCCCCGGCTTCCCGCGCGAACAGCTGATTCCCGGGAAGCCGGGGGGGCGGGGGGGGGAGAAGTGGAGCAGAGCGGCGCATTCAGGGGCGGAGGCGGAGGTGAGCTGGGGCTGGCGGTGGCGGAGGTGAGCTGGGGCTGGCGGTGGGGCGGGGAGCTGGCGGTGGGGGCTCTGCACCCACCAAATTTTTCCCCTCGCGGAACAACCGGTGCTAAAAGGGCTTCTAAATTTAACAACCGGTTCTAGCGAACCGGCTCCAGCTTACCACTGACAATAACCCCCCGCCACCAGCTTCCAAACCCTCTCCCGGCTGCTATTCTCCTGTGAGCAAGGTGAGCAGGGAACAACGGTGGCACCAGGAGACATGGGCCCCAGAGGTTTTGCACCAGAGATGGGTTAGTAAGAGACAGCAGCTGGGCCAGGGAAGACAAATGAGGATGGGGAAGCCACAGCTGCAGGTTAACAATCGTGGAATAAAACACAGGGATCTAACTGGGAACGGCCCAGACTGCATAGGAAGGGCCCATTGGATGTTGGGTGTTTGCGGGCTGGGATTGTTGTTGTACTTACAGTGTTTCCATACAAAACACAATTTACATGGAGAACATGTAAACTGGGGGGAGGGATAGCTCAGTGGTTTGAGCTTTGGCCTGCTAAACTCAGGGTTGTGAGTTCAATCCTTGAGGGGGCCATTTAGGGATATGGGGAAAATATTGGGGATTGGTCCTGCTTTGAGCAGGGCGTTGGACTAGATGACCTCCTGAGCTCCCTTCCAACCCTGATAGTCTGTGATTCTATGAACAAGGGGGCCGCAAAGTTCAGTGAACCGAGGTCAGAGTTAAGGTGGAAAGGCCTTACTCTAATCTCCCATTCCCACCTGTGCTGCTCGTCCCCACCCCCTCTATTCCCCTGCAGGGCGCTGCGGGCTCCTCTCCTTCTGCAGGGCTCTCTAGGGTGTCACTTTTTGTCCTTCTCTCTGTGCTCGCCTCTCCCGACTGTCACGGGGGGCTCTCCCATGGGTGCCCGTGTGGCGTGCGGAGCGCCAAGGGCCAGAAGCCACGACAGGACTCAGGGAGACAGCGCGATAGATTGTCACAACCCCAGTGCGGCTGCATCACCAGGGGGAAGCTGCATCTGCCCCTTGACTCAGGGCTTGTCGACACGGCGAGCCAGCGTGTGGCACGCCGGAGTGTGAATTCACAGCGCCCTAGCCTGCCACACACTGACTGGCTGCGTGGGTGCTTTGATCCGCCCGCCCCTTCCTAGCCGGTGTCAGCGGGAGCATGGGGAAGGGTCTTCCCCGGTCAAGCTGCAGAGAGCCCAGCTGCCCCTCGAGGGGACTGACCTGCGTGTGTCCAGCATCGCTCGCTCAGCTTCAACGTCCTTCAACGCCGAGCTGCACAGGGACCTCTCTGCCCTCCACAGGCCCCAGCCCCCAGCCCTGGCCCGGCCTGCCCGGGCAGGTCCTGACGCTGGTGCTGAGGCAATGAATACTGCCGCCGAGCCCAGAGCCGGCTCTCAGCTCCCATCCTCTCTCTGCAGCCAGCTACACCAGTGAGAGCCAGGAGACAAGTGGAGAAGCAGCGGCGACCCAGTCCCAGACCCAGACCCAGACCCAGACCCAGACCTACCTGGAGACCAGGCTTCATGGTTGCTCTAAGCAAGGAAGTGGTGAGGCTGCAAGGCGTGAGCGCAAGAGAAAGAGGCGATGTCACATGCCCAGCACCCCAGCCCATGCTCTGGGAGAGGGGAGGGGAGTTACTGAGGGGAAATGGTGTCTCAGAAGGAAGGGGAGCGAGAGAGCTCCAAGCTCCATAACCACTGAGCCAACCAGCCACTATCCTGTATCTCACGGTGTGTGGCAGGCCTGTGAGCACCGCGGTGTGGGTAGACAAATTTCCTGTCCCCTACCAGGGAGCTAGAACAGGGTCTTCTCCCCAGACCTCTCTCTGCAAATATCTTGGTCTGGGTGGGTGGCCAGAGGGCCGAGAACTCCACGCCCCTTCTCCTGTTCTTTGTCACTGCTGGGGAGGATTTCTTCCGAAAAGCAGAAACCCAAACTCCACACTTGAAAATAAAATTAAAATCCCCAAAGCTAGTGACATGGACACGTCACCCGGCCAAGATCAACAGGCCCCCTAGCGTACAGAGCGGAGGTGAGAGCCTCGCCGTGTGGTGCGATAAAGGGGCCCTCCTAGCCCCTGTGCACCCAGGGAAGGATTTCCCCAGGCAGGCCCTGTGGGAGACAGCCATAATGCTGTCTTCTAAGGATGCCCTTGCAAAGCCTGGCCTAGGAGACGCACAGAGGCAGAGCCTCAGTATGCAGCACGGCAAGATTGCAGGTGGCGTGTGGGCCATGGGGCAGCCCGGGCATGCTGCCGTAACTCAGACAGGCGCCAGGGACTGCAGAGACTAACCCTGCCTTGGTGTCTGGGGACGGACTACATGCTCTCCATTTCTACCGTCTGTCACCCTGTGCTCTCCTCCTGCTCTGCCACCTCCCCGCGGTGCCAATGCCAGCCTCGGGCGCCCAGCCAGCTCAGCGAATGCACCCCAGCCCTGCCCCTACGGAGCTGATCCTGCTCGGAGCGTTCCCTGAGACTGGGCAGGGAGCTGGTGCAAAATGCAGACTCTGGCAACGAGACGTGGCCCTAACGGCCGAATTCTCTCCACCCACAGGATCTGCTGCGAGTCAGGAGGGAGGACAGAAAACGCACACCCCCACCTTCCAAACCCTGTCCTGGCTGCTATTCTCCTCTGACCAAGGTGAGCAGGGAACAACGGTGGCACCAGAGAGAGATGGGCCCCAGAGGTTCTGTACCAGAGATGGGTTAGTAAGAGACAGCAGCTGGGCCAGGGAAGGCAGATGAGGATGGGGAAGCACAGCTGCAGATTAACAGTCATGTAATAAAACACAGGGATCTAACTGGGAACGGCCCAGACTGCATCCTGGTGCTGTCAGAGCAGGAGAATGAGCTGGGGAATCTGCCTGAACCTGGGGTGCAAGACAGAAGAATCAGCCAGCAATGGCCAGTCTCCACTGTCCAGCCCAGCAACCCAGCCAGCCCTTCCCAGACCATCTCGAGGAAGGGCCAAGCAGACGTTGAGTGTTTGCGGGCTGGGATTGTTGTTGTAATTGCAGCATTTCCGTACAAAACACAATTTACATGGAGAACAAGGGGACTGCATAGTTCAGTGTCCCAAGGTCAGAGTTAAGGTGGAAAGGCTTGACTGTAAACCCCCATTGCCAGGGCCGGATTAACTCTCCTGTGGGCCTGGGGCTATTAGATTTTGTGGGGCCCCTATATACAAGTCTTTTTCCTAATTTAAAACAAAATGATCACAATTTTGGCATCGAGGCTATTAATGCTATACTAAACTTGCCTTTTAATTAACATAAAGCCATTCTGTGGTTACATTTCAGTCTGAAAACATGTAGAATATAGTTAAGTTAATTCAAAATAGCCTACTTCTTACCTTAGAACCACTGTTATATTAGTTTCTTTCTGGGAGGGAGTTTGGGTGCTGGAGGGAGCTCCAGGCTGGGGCAGGGGGTTGGGGTGGAGGAGGGGGTGTGGGGTCTGGGAGGGAGTTTGGATGCAGGAGGGGGTTCTGACCTGGGGCAGGGGGTTGGGGAGCGGGAAGGGGTATGGGCTCTGGGAGGGAGTTTGGGTGCAGAAGAGGGTTCTGATCTGGAGCAGGCGGTTGGGGTGAGGGAGGGGGTGCGGGCTCTGGGAGGGAGTTTGGATGCAGGAGGGGGTTCTGACCTGGGGCAGGGGGTTGGGCTGCAGGAGGGGGTGTGGGCTCTGGGAGGGAGTTTGGGTGCAGGAGGGGGTTCTGACCTGGGGCAGGGGGTTGGGCTGCAGGATGGTGTGTGGGCTCTGGGAGGGAGTTTGGGTGCAGGAGGGGGTTCTGACCTGGGGCAGGGGGTTGGGCTGCAGGAGGGGGTGTGGGGTCTGGGAGGGAGTTTGGATGCAGGAGGGGGTTCTGACCTGGGGCAGGGGGTTGGGCTGCAGGAGGGGGTGTGGGCTCTGGGAGGGAGTTTGGGTGCAGGAGGGGGTTCTGACCTGGGGCAGGGGGTTGGTGTGAGGGAGGGGGTGAGAAGTGCAGGCTCTGGCCAGGAGGTGCTTACCACAGGCAATTCGTGGCCTGTGGTGCAGCAGGACACAGGCAGGCCGGCTGCATGCCATAGCCCCACGTCGCTCCCGGAAACGGCTGGCTTCTGGCATGTCTCTGCGCGCCCCTGGGGGAGGGGACCCCAGAGCTCCCTTTGGGTGGAACTGTGGGGATGGTGTTGGGGGTGGGGGCAGCGCGCGAAGCCTCCCCCACCCGCCAGGGGCTGCAGAAACACACTAGTAGCCGGCTGCTTCCGGGAGCAGCATGGGGCCACGGCATGCAGGCAGCCTGCCTGAGCCCTGCTGTGCTGCTGGATTTTAGCAGCCCGGAGATCGCGATCGACTGGCAGAGGCTCCAGGATCGACCAGCTGATCGCAATCGATGGGTTGGTGACCACTGAATTGTATATAATTGTGGATTTATTTTTGTGGGGCCCCCCTTAGCCTGAGGCCCTGGGTTGTAGCCCCTAAAGCCCCTGCGTTAATCCGGCCCTGCCCATTCCCACCTGTGCTGCTCGTCCCCACCCCCTCTATTCTCTTGCAGGGTGCTGCGGGCTCCTCTCCTTCTGCAGGGCTCTCTAGGGTGTCACTCTTTGTCCTTCTCTCTGTGCTCGCCTCCTCCCGACTGTCACGGGGGGCTCTCCCATGGGTGCCCGTGCGGCGTGCGGCACGCCAAGGGCCAGAAGCCACGGCAGGGCTCAGGGAGACAGCGCGATAGATTGTCACAACCCCAGTGCGGCTGCATCACCAGGGGGAAGCTGCATCTGCCCCTTGACTCAGGGCTTGTCCACACGGCGAGCCAGCGTGTGGCACGCCGGAGTGTGAATTCACAGCGCCCTAGCCTGCCGCACACTGACTGGCTGCGTGGGTGCTTTGATCCGCCCGCCCCTTCCTAGCCGGTGTCAGCGGGAGCATGGGGAAGGGCCTTCCCCGGTCAAGCTGCAGAGAGCCCAGCTGCCCCTCGAGGGGACTGACCTGCGTGTGTCCAGCATCGCTCGCTCAGCTTCACTGTCCTTCAACTCCGAGCTGCACAGGGACCTCTCTGCCCTCCACAGGCCCCAGCCCCCAGCCCTGGCCCCGGCCTGCCCGGGCAGGTCCTGACGCTGGTGCTGAGGCAATGCATACTGCCGCCGAGCCCAGAGCCGGCTCTCAGCTCCCATCCTCTCTCTGCAGCCAGCTACACCAGTGAGAGCCAGGAGACAAGTGGAGAAGCAGCGGCGACCCAGACCCAGACCCAGACCCAGACCCAGACCTACCTGGAGACCAGGCTTCATGGTTGCTCTAGGCGAGGATGTGACTTTTCTAAGGCCTGCCAAGGGGGAGGTAGGGTTGCCAACTTTCTGATCCCTGAAAACCGAACGCCCCTGCCCCGCCTCTTCCCCCAAGGCCCCACCCCTGTCTGCCTCTTCCTCTGAGGCCCCGCCCCCTGTCTCACATGTCTCCCCCCCCCTCGCTTGCTCTCCACCCCCGCCGGTTGCTCCCCCACCCCCTGGGGCTCACCTGCTGCCTGCAGAGCTGGGTTGGGAGGAGCTGACGTGGAGTTTGACCAATTGGGGTACAGCGGGGCACGGCAGGGGTCGGTCCCTGGAGTGAGGGGCTGGGGTGGGGCAAGCAGGGCACGGCAGGGGTCGGTCCCTGGACTGAGGGGCTGGGGGGGGCAAGCGGGGCACAGTGAGGCGGATAGGTCAGTCCCTGGACTGAGGGGCTGGGGTGGGGCAATCGGGGCAGAGTGAGGTGGATGGTCAGTCCCTGGACTGAGGGGCTGGGGTGGGGCAATCAGGGCACAGTGAGGCGGATGGGTCGGTCCCTGGAGTGAGGGGCTGGGGTGGGGCAATTGGGACACAGTGAGGCGGATGGGTCGGTCCCTGGAGTGAGGGGCTATGGTGGGGCAATCGGGGCACAGTGAGGCGGATGGGTCGGTCCCTGGAGTGAGGGGCTGGGGTGGGGCAATCGGGGCACAGTGAGGCGGATGGGTCAGTCCCTGGACTGAGGGGCTATGGTGGGGCAATCGGGGCACAGTGAGGCGGATGGGTCGGTCCCTGGAGTGAGGGGCTGGGGTGGGGCAATCGGGGCACAGTGAGGCGGATGGGTCAGTCCCTGGACTGAGGGGCTATGGTGGGGCAATCGGGGCACAGTGAGGCGGATGGGTCAGTCCCTGGAGTGAGGGGCTGGGGTGGGGCAATCGGGGCACAGCGGGGTGGGGGCCAGACAAGTTACTCCCCTGCCCCCCTGGACAGCTCTGGTACCTACTTTGGAGCCTGGTCCTGGAGCAGCCAGTTCTCTCCATCAGGCTGGCGGGGCAGGAAGAGGCTGCTAAGCGGAGCTGCTCCTCCAGGCTCCAGAAGCAGCCGCTGCTCTTCCCGTCCCTGGGTGGCAGCAGCCCGTTCCTGCAGGTAACCAGACCTTTAGCATCCGCTCTGCTGTGCTGACTGGATGCTGCCAGTTTCCCTTTTCAACCAGACGTTCCGGTCGAAAACCGGATACCTGGCAACCCTTGGTGGGGGAGAAGCTGGACCCAGGAGCACCGGATTAAGAAAGGAGGGATGAACCCCATCCCGCACTCCGGGAGAGGGGTGGGGAGTAACTGAGGCGAAATGGTGGCTCGGCAGGAAGGGCACAGGGCACAGCTCCATCACCACGGAGCAAACCGAGCACGATCCTGATATTTCGTGGAGTGCGACAGGGAAACGGAGTCGAGCTAGTGGTCCAGCCTGACTGAGGCCAGGCCGGGATGCAGAGGGAGCGCTTAGTCACAGGCACCAGGATGCTCCGTAGCTGATCGCTAGCCAGCTCCATCTCCACCGGGCCTTGCAAGCTCCTAGTTCCCCTGCCTGCTGTGATGTTCCCGTCATGCATGACAGCCCCCATCCTGTCCTTCCGCAGACCCTGGCCCTGTCACTTCTGCCACGCTGTCTGGAGGGGCTCACAGCTGTGAGTGCCAGTCTCAGGTCAGACTGTCAGAAGACAGGGCAGACACCCCAAACTGGTGGTGTGTTCTATAATTAGAAGTCACCAAGCCAGTAACCGACATGGGCTCCTGGATCACCCTATTAATCTTCCCTTGGAGCCACAGACAGGCCCTTTTAGGCTCTCCAGCCAACCTTACTACCCAGACAAACTGGACTTAGTGATAAAGGTCACATAAACCAAAAATCACCATGCATCAGGTCACTTCCGTCCCGATCCCAAAGGCCAGTCACTCACCCAGGTCAATGGATGCTCAGGATCTCACACCAAAGACAATTCTGTAGCTAATTTCTCTAGTAAATTAAATATTTATTAGCTAAGAAAAGGAATGAGAGTTACTGAGAGGGTAAAGCAGGTAAAATACATAACCGCTGAGTCAGTGTTTGTAAGTCCAAATGATAGCAGAGATCTCTGCTAGTTCACCTTAAGTCTCTCAGGGTTACCCAAATTGGTTTTTGGGGACCTCTGTCCAATCACTCAGGATTCCCTCTATCAGAATGCATTTGTCCAGAGATGCTGGATCATGCCCTTGAATCAGTATTTATAGATCCTGCTCACAGAAGACACGCTGGCTTTTCACCCACGTGGGCGCTTCCTTTGATGAAGAACGCAGATGGAGTCTATGATCTCAGGTCGCCACATCAATGACCACTTGCTTTGACATTAGCATTTGCTTGTTAAAGTCCTTAAACCCTTTCTCAGCATTCAAAAGATTCCTTTGAGGAGTAATTTTGGTTAGTGATATACATAAGGAAATTGTCACATTATAATAAAAATAGATATGAGAAAGCCATACAGGTAACATTCACTGGTTTTTCAGAAAGTTGACACACCAAGTACATTCTCATCTAAATGCTAATACAGCCTTTGATCTAGGGTCAAACCTAATGTAAACTGATAGCATTCGACAGGTTACAGATAAGTGAAGACAATATCATTTCCGTGACCTTTGAACTAAATTAACACGCGAGTGAATTAGCCTGCTGCCTTGAGAAAAGGAGGACTTGTGGCACCTGAGAGACTAACCAATTTATCTGAGCATAAGCTTGCGTGAGCTACAGCTCACTTCACTGGGCCTTGGTCTGCTGGCCACCTGTTAGACAGCATCCCCACTTCCTTCTGTTTGCTCTCTGCCCCACTGGCAGTGTTAGCCAAGGGTACAGCTCACCGGGAAGCCACGGAAAGGACCACTGCAGGACACTGTGGGAAGCTGGAGCTGATGTTGAGGTCCCAGGCGAGCTCCCAGAGCAGAGGGGAGAGGTGTCTCCATCACTGCTCTCAGCTCCTGGTGCGCTGCTGAGAGGTCTGGAGCGTCAGCACAGGGAAGGGAAAGCCCCATTCAGGCACCAGTGGAGATTTAATGGCAAACTCAGCCCTTAGCCATCCCGCGATGGGGCCCGAGCTCTGTGTTACCAACTGAGTTCCTGCCAGTGGGACACTTCTGCAGCCTGAAATGAACTCAGTGGGGGGCCTGCTGCCCGAAGCAGAGCTCAGCGCCCCACCCAGACCTGTGCTGTCCCATGGGCCCCCCGTTACCCGGAGATCACACTGCAGTGTGGTGCTAACACTGTCCTTCTGCAGGTCCAGGATTCAGAAGTGAGAACCAGGAGGGAAGCTGAGAGACGTTCGCAGCCGCGACCCAGATCCAGATCGAATCCTCCAGGGCACTCACCTTACAACTACGGCTATATGACTCTTCTTGCTTCACCCTCCAATGTGAGCCTCCCGGTACAGTAAGAGGAGAGGAGGGTGGAAGCTGTGAGCTTCATGTTAACTAATGAGCAGGGCCCTGTGCAAATCACCATGTCACGGAGGGCCCAGAAATCGTGGCCATGTCCCCAGGCGGTGATCTTTCCAATACTTTTTTTTAAAGAAAATGTCTACCACAGAGTCCTTAATACAAACAGTTCTCTTAGCTAGTCAATTTCAAGGCTGGAATTAGTTTTACGAGTAAGGGGACTCAAAACTGACCAACGTTACTTGTGAAATTCACTCCAGCCTTGAGACTGACTTAATTCAGCTGTTGTAGCCATGCTGGACCCGGGTGTTAGAGAGACAAGGTGAGTGAAGTGGTATCTTTTCTTGACCAACTTCTGTTGCATGAGCTCTATGTAAACAAGAGAGAAGCGCTAAGAGCTCTGTTTAAGGTGGAAAGCTCGTATCTCTCACTGACAGAAATTGGTCCAGGAAAAGATATCACCTCCCCCACCTTGTCTCTCTGAATTTGGTTGTGAAATTCATTGTGTGCAAACTCGGGGGAATTCAATATTTTGCCTTTTACGCTGTCATGAATTTTCTAAAAGAATTGTGATTTACCCACGGCCCGGCTAACAAGCAATGAAACTCCACGGCCTGAGCGAGAGGGCCCAGGGGGAGCTGATGTATTGGTTGTCCTTGGGAGGCTGGGGCAGCCAGCGCCCATGCTCAGGGAGAGGGGAAGGGCATTACTGAGGGGAAAGGGAGGTTCGGAAGGAAGGGCACAACACACTGCAGAGGGCATGCTCAGCTTACAGTATGTCTACACAGCAAAGAAACACCTGCAGCTGGCCCGTGCCAGCTGATTTGGGCTCACGGGGCTTGGGCTGTTTCATTGCTGTGTAGACATCTGGGCTCAGGCTGCAGCCCAAGCTCGGGAACCCGCCCAGACGTCTGCACAGCAGTGAAAAAGCCCTGCAGCCCGAGTCCTACAAGCCCGAGTCAGCTGGCACGGGCCAGCCATGGGTGTTTAGCTGCTGGGTAGCCATGCCCTTAGATGCCAGAGGCTCCATTGCTGATCACCAGCCAGCCCCTGCCTCTGCACCCGTACAAACCAGGGCTTGCAAGGTCCCTGTGCCCCTGCCTGCTGCGGGTTTTCATTAGTGCGTTACATGGGCGGGTGAACCCCCGTTTCGGGGAGGCTAACCTGCTGGCCCCACCCCTTCCACCTGCACCCTCCCTGTGGCCGGAGGAGCCCTGAGCACCTCCCAGCGACTGGAGCCCCAAAACCCACCCTGCCGCCAGAGGAGCCCCACGCCCTGCCTGCCCTGAGCTGCTGGCCAGCCCGCCCGAGCCGTGCCAGCCCTCCCCATCACCGGGCTGAGCTGTTGGCCCGATTCCTGGGCTGAGCCGCTGGCCCGAGCACCGGGCCAAGCCACTGGCCTGACCTCTGGGATGGCCCAAGTGTTGCCCCGGGGCCTCTGGCCTGACCCCCAGGCTGGCCCGAGCTTCTCAGGGCGGCCCCAGGCCCTGGCTGCTGGCGGGCCTGAGCTCCAGGCCACTGGCTGAAGCTGAGCCCCCACCAGCTTCAGGGGAAAGAGGGAGGGAGGCAGGGCCTTGGGGCAGAACAGGGGAGGCTTAGCCGCCCTGCCCATGGATACCTGCCGCCCATGGTGCGTTACAGCCCGTCACTTCCCTGCAGCACTCCCAGCCCACAGCTCCCTTCTGTTCTGCGGTCTCAGCACTGGTGTTAGTGAGTCTCCCACGGCAGCGCATGATGCCCCCCGGGAAGCTGGGAGCTCAGCGTGGCTAGGCCAGCCCGGGGGTGAGATGTGCCCCGTCTGCGCTTCTCACTGGCAGCGGGGCCCGACGCAGCGAGAACGAGGCCCCATGCCGACTCTCTCCTCGCACAGGGGCCTGCTCTACCAGGGCGAGGCAGGAGGGCAGTTGAAGGAACTCAGACGCGCAGACTAAAACCCAAGCGACCCCAGCTGCCCTGCTCGGGCTGCTACAGCCCTCTAGAGTCCCTCAAGGTAAGAGGCAGGGAGGGGAGAGGCAGAGACCAGCCGGGTGATTCTCGGACTCAGCGTCACTCAGACTGAGGGCCGGGAACTCCCCAGGAGCTACAGGACTCAGCCGACGGATCTAAGCTACGGCTGCACAGATCACGCCGGAGCATTGCAGGCTGGGACCTGTAGCCTCCATTGGCCCTAGGCTGCATTTTACCAGGGGGCTTCCTATTGGCCATCCCTGCTGTCCCTCCTGAGAGCACAAGCTGCATTGTGGTCCCCTCTGCCAGCGAGACAGCTGGAACAGGGGCTGGAGGGCTGATTCGGGGCACGTAAGCACAACCTAGACCCAGCTTATGACGGAGAGTCTCCTTTAGGTGCAGTGCTAAGAAACGCTGCCTTTTCTGGATCCCACTGGCTTCAGTCCCAGTTCCAGGTGCACCGGGTTCCCCGGACAGAGCTGCACGAACCCGCCTTCTTCCCTTCTAGAGAAGGGAATAAATAAAGAGATAGCTAACTAAACAGATAAACCCCAGTTCCCTCTGGGGCAGCACTGCAGGGCCGCAGAGGGGAAGATAGCTCAGCGAGTCTTCATTTCGATAGATATCAAGCCCATAGGGGGCCAGACTATAATCCCAGTTATACTGGTGTCAATCCGGAGTACCTCTATTAGCATGAGTGACTTTCGTTACCGCAGGGTAAATCTGGAGTCACCATTGGATTACGTGGAGTTACCCTAGATTTACATCTTTGCAACTTTACAGCTTTGTAATGCAGGGCACTTAATTAAAAACCAAAGGCAGTGCAAACATGGCCCCCGCCCCATGACCCGAAGCTCTGAAGCTGGCCCACTGGCTTCCCAGGTGAACATCAACGTCATTGACCCGAGACGTACTGTAAATATTGACCAGCATGAAGTCAGTGTTAATAATTACCTGCAGGCACAACAAGTCTTGCTGTTTGCTGAACCCTGGAGTCCGTGTCAACAGTTACATCATCCTTAATGTCTCCAACACACGTATCTGGGTATGTCTAGGGACTCGGGACTATGAGACCCAAATCATCCCCCCAGCCCACACCAATAAACATTTACAGTCTAGACCAGAGATGTGGGTGGAGTTAGAGGTCCAGGAAAAGCTATTCTTTGTCTCTCGTGATCCAATCGGGAGGCAGAGATTTGCATATGTGATCAGATAGGCTACAACATGAGTGCTGGGAACACTGGGGTTGGTGTGAGAGCTCTGCATTATGGGCTGGGTTCTGTAGGGTAGCACTTCATTCCAGGAGTGGCCCTATGGGGTCCACTGGAGGTGAGAGTGACTGGTCAGTGAGAGTGAGGGGACCAGACTCTGGTGCTAAGTGTTACGTGCCAACGAGGCGAGCAGTGCTGTACAAGACCCAAGCAAAAGCAGCCCCTGCCCTAGGGAGTTGACAATCTAGCAAACCCAACCCTAAGAGCATCTGAGACCCTGACGTCCCTGAAATCGTAGGAGCAGGCTCCAGGGGACAGACACTCTGGTCAGGCCAGAGGAATGTGATGACACCAAACTTTTTTCACCTTTCATACTCTGTCTCCTCTGCTTACAAGCAGCAATGCCGGGGTGGGGAAGATGCTAGACTGAGGTGGGTTAGTGTCCCTGAGCCTTGCCCTAGTGAGGCATTAGGAGGAGAGACAAAAGGGGTTAAGTAGGCATCTCTTGGCTAAGTGACAGCAAAGGGTCAGGCGGTGGTGACATACGTACTGGAAAGGCCACCGGATAAGTGGCCCAGCAGCCAACTAATGCACACCCTGACGGTGCCCACTGCTAGCAGGGCACAGCTTAGGCATTTGAAGAAAGTCTGTGGAGACACTGGTTGTTTTGTGTGTATACTTCCACTACAAAAAAGTAGTCCAAAGTGGAAAGATAAATGCAAGCGTAACCCCTTCTGCCAGGTGGAGTCAGCAGCATCAAGGGCTGGGGTCAATGTCTAGGTGTTCCTCTTAACAATACAAATCACAACCGGCTCAAGCCCCTGCCCAGTAACCTGGGAAAATTTAACCCCTGCCCTGGGTGCCTCTGAGAGGCAATATGTCCCCTCTCGCAAGCACTGAGTCTGTGGATAGCAAAGAAAACTTTTAATAAAAGGGGAAAGGAACCCGGCATTAATTTGGGAAAACACCTCAACCACAATCTGAAGGCACGTGACCACGAGCAAACACCCACCCCAGAGTACGCTGGGCAGTGTCCTTTGCCTCAGTTTCTCTGCTTGTAGTGTGAAACACATGCTCCTTTAACCCATCGCTCCCCTCTCCCTCCACCGCACCCCACTTGCAGCTACTGGGCTTGGCCAGCGGAGACCCAGAGTTCAGCCCTGCCATTATGTGAGTTCACCTCGCACCCCGGGGAGGGGACATCAAGCCATACCCGAGCCGCTGCACTGCCTCTGCAATTAGCTGCTGCCAGGTCATGCTCTGAGGTCCCAGCACATAACCCAGCCCTCAGTGGGTAGCAGGAAACTTCTCTTTCAGGACAACACTGTCCCACACCAGGCCGAAGGCTCAGCACCTGGTTATCCGGGATTTTAGCTCTAGCCATGATTAGACAAAACAAGGACTCTCGATTGAGTCTAATCAGCTCTGTCTTCAAACAGAAGAGAGGAGAAGATCAGATAGTACCTGGGATTTGGCATCTCTACCCCCTGCTTAGCAAATGAGGTTCAATTTAAGGGAACCCCTCAATCATGCAGGCTAAGTACCGTTCTGCTGCCCTTTACTCATACAATAAGGATAACCACATTTCATTATCCTTGCATTCAAGCTAATGTGAAAATTATCTCATACACAGGTTAAGGAAAGAGTGCCTATACATCTGGGTACAATGCTTAATTATACAAAGTTTGGTTTAAAAGTCATACAATACATATAGTACATAATCTGCAATATCCCAAATTCAGGTTAATAAATTAATGATACAGTTTAGATATTAGCATCCAAATATTCAGGCACATCACTCGTAAGAGATTATACTAAGCGGGATTTGTAACCCAGCACCAGCCAAAAGTGATCACTTTGGCAAAGCAGCTCCATCATGCTGCTCACTTTGGCAGAGTGGGCGTGTCTCTGCAAACACAGTCGGCTCCTGAAGTCTTTCCCCCCAGCTCCTCACTGGATGTCCGGGGAGAAGTCATTCAGACCCTGCTCACACAGGTAGTAGGGGAAAGGTTGTCATCACCTTTCTGTTTGGAACAGATATTTATTCCTAACTTTTTCCTTCTTTCAAAATCCTCTCAGACTACACAGTCCCTTTTCCAGCAGCCTCCCCGTTGCTGGCTCTGTTAGCAGCAGGTTGTGACCTGACAGTTTCAATTCACTCGAGCATAAAAACTAACAGTGCCCAGTTCCTGAGGTGTCAGTCTTGGGTTTGGACACCCTGGAGGCCCTCAAAGTGCTGCTGAGAGGGCATGTGATGGGGAGGGGCAGTGTAAGCCTGTCTGATATTTTATTTTTCTTCTCCCTCACCATACAATCATAGAATATTAGGGTTGGTAGTGACCTCAGGAGGTCATCTAGTCCAACCCCCTGCTCAAAGCAGGACCGATCCCCAATTAAATCATCCCAGCCAGGGCTTTGTCAAGCCTGACCTTAAAAACTTCTAAGGAAGGAGATTCCATCACCTCCCTAGGTAACGCATTCCAGTGTTTCACCACCCTCCTAGTGAAAAAGTTTTTCCTAATATCCAACCTAAACCTCCCCCACTGCAACTTGAGACCATTACTCCTTGTTCTGTCATCTGCTACCACTGAGAACAGTCTAGATCCATCCTCTTTGGAACCCCCTTTCAGGTAGTTGAAAGCAGCTATCAAATCTCCCCTCATTCTTCTCTTCTGCAGACTAAACAATCCCAGCTCCCTCAGCCTCTCCTCATAAATCCTGGGCCCCAGCCACCTGACCATTTTTGTTGCCCTCCTCTGGACTCTCTCCAATTTGTCCACATCCTTTTTGTACTGGGGGGCCCAAAACTGGACGCAATACTCCAGATGTGGCCTTAACAGTGCTGAATAGAGGGGAATAATCACTTCCCTTGAACTGCTGGCAATGCTCCTGCTAATGCAGCCCAATATGCCGTTAGCCTTCTTGGCAACAAGGGCACATTGTTGACTCATATCCAGCTTCTCGTCCACTGTAATCCCCAGGTCCTTTTCTGCAGAACTGTCGCTTAGCCAGTCGGTCCCCAGCCTGTAGCGGTGCATGGGATCCTTCCATCCTCAGTACAGAACTCTGCACTTGTCCTTGTTGAACCTCATCAGATTTCTTTTGGCCCAATCTTCCAATTTGTCGAGGTCACTCTGGACCCTATCCCTACCCTCCAGCGTATCTACCTCTCCCCTCAGTTTAGTGTCATCCGCGAACTTGCTGAGGGTGCAATCCACGCCATCCTCCAGATCATTAATGAATATGTTGAAGAAAACCGACCCCTGGGGCACTCCGCTTGATACCGGCTGCCAACTAGACATCGAGAGGTTGATCACTACCCATTGAGCCTGATGATGTAGCCAGCTTTCTATCCAACTTATAGTCCCTTCATTCAATCCATACTTCTTTACCTTGCTGGCAAGAATACTGTGGGAGACCATATCAAAAGCTTTGCTAAAGTCAAGATATCACATCCACCGCTTTCCCCATATCCACAGAGCCAGTTATCTCATCATTGAAGGCAATCAGGTTGGTCAGGCATGACTTGCCCTTGGTGAATCCATGTTGTCTGTTCCTGATCATCTTCCTCTCCTCCAAGTGCTTCAGAATGGTTTCCTTGAGGACCTGCTCCATGATTTTGCCGGGGACTGAGGTGAGGCTGATTGGTCTGTAGTTCCCCAGGTTCTCCTTCTTCCCTTTTTTAAAGATGGGCACTATATTTGCCTTTTTCCAATCATCCGGGACCTTCCCCAATCACCATGAGTTTTCAAAGATAGTGGCCAATGGCTCTGCAATTACATGGGCCAATTCCCTCAGCACCCTTGGGTGCATTGCATCCGGCCCCACCAGC